CGTTAGAGAATTTTATTGCTTTCAGTGCTATGTCTTTAAATATCATCATTGGAGATTTCGATACTCTTAGTCTTTTGGTGCTATTCGTCTTTCGGTGCTGCTGTTTTCATTTTCTATGTCATGGTTTCCTTTACGATTCTGTATCGTTCGTCAGTATGAGATTTTGTATATGTGTTGTCATTGAGTTTAGTGTAATTTAGCTATATCATGTTACATCATTGTTGTGTATTATATAAGTTATTGTTAGGTAAAATGTTCATTATGCAATGATATCATTGCATAATGACATTTGTGTTAATAGTTAGTTAAGGCTAGAGTTGGGTTCAGGTTAGGGTTAGAGGTTTTTAATGTAAAATCATTTCATTGTATGAATAAAAATTGATTAATTTTATTTAAATAAACAATATTGAAAGAATAATCTGTGACTAGTATTGTTAAAATTATAATGTCGAATTATTGACGAGTGGTAGCTTTTATATGTCGAAAGTTAATCGATTAGTATATTAACAAGTGGCTGCTTTATATATTGAATATTAGTCAATTATTGTATCAAATTATTAACGAGTAGCAGCTTTTATATGCTGAATATTGATCGATTGACATAATGAAATATTTACAAGTGGCTGCTTTATATATTGAATGTTGGTCAATTGTCATATCGAATGATTAATAAGTGGCAGCTTTTATATGCTGAATATTAGTCGATTAGTATAATGAAATATTTACGAGTGGATCTTTATATGTCAAATGTTAGTCAATTGTTGAATCGAATTATTAACAAGTGGTAGCTTTTATATGCCGAATATTAATCAATTGGTATATCGAATTATTAATGAATATCCACTTTTAAACATCGCCGAATTTGGTCGATTACCGAATGCTTTACGATTTTCATCCCGAATGTTTACTGAGTGTCATATGCTGAGTGATAGCCAAGTGCAAATTTGTACCAAACGGCACTTATTCAGCTAACATTCGGCTAATATTTATCTACTGAAAAATCGTTAATTATTCGGCTAACTTTTGTACAACTATCATTATAACAAATGTCACAATTTTGACCAGTGTCACTGACTCTGAATTTCTACTATGCAGATCCCCTGCTCATATATCCTATCAAGATTTATTCATATAATATTACACTACACTTCCAAGTTCTGATCAATTTAGTACAACTCAATTTACAGAAATATGCCCTCAGAAATGAACAGGGTTTACTATAATATATCACAAAGTCTGAAAAATTATTCAAATTCATTAACAGTAGGATTTGAATTCCAGATCTATTACATGGTAGTCTGACAACCTAACTACTATACTAGGTTGCTAGACTTTAATAATATTAGTTTGTAATAGTATAAGTTAAACAAAATATTTAAATAAGTAACTCACAAGTAGGTTATAGATATAGTAGCATAGTGTAGTACTACAGGTAGTCTAACACTTATATAATAAACTACTTAAATTAAACAATTACTAAAGTTATATATGTAGCTTATTATATACTCTTTATATAATTACAAACTGTAAAAGATTACTTATGTATAACTCTATATATTAAACTAATAAAATTCACTTAGCAATATAAGCTATTTTGTTTTTTTTTTTTTTTTATATTGATACAAATGCTATTAGCTTAATTTTTATTAGGTTATTATAGTTATAAAATATGATATATATTATAAGAGTACAACTAGTTACACATATAATTTTAGGTTGTCTATTTTAAGTAGTCTGTTTAAATATTCTACACTAGCTACTATACCTGTAACTTCTTAGAAGATTACTTATTTAAACTCTCTGACCCTATCTCATATTTGCAAGTATAGTATTACCAAGTTAACTATAACTCTGTGCTACTCCACTTTGGAAAGCACCTAAGCTTATATATGTTACCTACTTTACTATTATGAGCTTAAGGTTTTACCTAGATAAGTCTTCACTTCAATACTCTCTAATAGATAGATGATACAATACCTAACTATGCTATATTATATTCTAATCTAGCTTGCATATACCCTTATTTAAAGTTCGTACAAACTCAGTTCCAGCTATAGCCCTCCATTAGATTAAACTTCTATGTCTTTCTAAATGTTTCATGAAGTAGATCCTCCCAATCTAGTTAGCCACCTAGCTAAGTTGGTATTACTATAATATCTAATAACATAGACTTATTTACATCTTTTTTGATCTATATTTTTATACTCAAAAATCTTTATCAGATCAAGCATAAACTGGTGTAACTATTGAAATCTGTACTACTTTATCTAACATAGGATTTCTACTATGCAGGTCTTCTGCTCATAAATTCTATTTCAATTTATTCATATAATGCAACTTCAATATTCTGTCATACTTCTAATATCTGAACAATATTAGTGCAATATAATTAACAAGGTTACAACCTCAGAAACGAACAAAGTTTACTATAAGTTGAGTATAGATATCTAGATAATTATTCAATTCTATCAACAGTGGGATTTGAACTCTAGACTTCTTGCATAGCAGTCTGACAACCTATTTACTATACTAGATCATTAGACTATAATATAAACTATCTTAAAAATAAAAAAAAACAAATAGTTAATTTCTTAGATATATTTTATTTAATTTTTTTTTTTTTTTTTTTTTTTTTTTTTTTTTTTTAAAAAAAAAAGTGAGGCCTTGTCTCTATTATTTATTAAATAAATTGTATAGCATATGTATATATAAAATTACAAAAAAATCTGCTAAGAACAGAAAGCTAAAGCTAGTTTACTCTTGACCTAGATAAGAAGATCAGGCCTTAACTAGTCTCTGTAACAAAGTATAATATCAGAGGATTAATTTGCAAAAGAAAAATAACTAGACTAGTATTTTATTCTGTTATCAGTTTTAATATTTTTGAGTATAGATATTGTAGAGATTGTAGAGATGATATAAAGGTTAGAAGTAGAAAGAAAGGTATTTGTAGAGGTAGATATATTCGAGTTAGAGCTTTGGTATCAAGGAATCCATATATCCTTGTAAACTCTCTTGAATATTTTGTAGAGAAGAAGACATACTACTGAGTATTTTTTGCTAATAGGTTTTTTGGTATGGCAAAAGATATTTGCGTATAGATAGTTTGAAATATAGCCTTGAATTATATGTGGAGTAGAATTAGTAAAAAAGGTAAGCAGATGAATTTGGTTGTGGATAATTATATCAGAGATTTCTTGGATTGATGAAGATAAAGAGCAGTGATATTAGAAAAGAACTTCATTTGTTGTATTCTGTATAATTGAATTAATAGAAGTTTAGTTGAAAGGATATTGCTACTAGTATGTATTGTTTTCAATCTTATATTGCATCTTGTACAGTATAGGCTAGAATATTTTTGATTATTTTTTTTATGAAAATTTAGTCTTGTTGGAAATTTATCTAAGAGAAATTTCACTTTAAAGGTTTTAATTTGTACATATTTGAAATGTGTTTGTCTTGAGTTAGGTGAGTCATTGAAGTTAAGAAACTCGAACAGAATATTCCAGTTAATAGCATATCATATAGAGTTAATTGATTCTATTCTAGTTTGTAAATACCATTTTGATAAGTTATAGGCATTATTAAGATATCAAATAAATCTGCATAGTTAGTGTTAGACGATATTGTTTTGCCAAGTAAGGTAGTATGTATCTTGTCTAATAAGATTATAAAAAATATTAATTAGATAAGGAGTAGAGATATTAATTGGAGTAGAATAAGCTGAAGTAGTGAAATAAATTTATTGATTTTTCTAAGCTATAATAGTGATAATTGCGATCTAAGCTAGTTGGTAGACAAGTTTACTAGTAGCAAGTTTAGAATTGAGATATATTTTGAAATGAATATGATTATAAATTTTTTGAATTAAGGCTATTGATATAGTGATATAAATAGTAAAATCATATAAAAGTTTAAGTAGAGCAGTAATAAGTGCAGTAAGGATCGAGTAGATTCTATTTAACCAAAAGTAGTTTTGTAAAGAGAAGTTAAATTCTGTATTTGCAATATACTAATAGAAGTTAGTAATTGATATAGAGCTTGTGAGTAGAGAATAGTCTGTATGAAGAGAGTTGTTAGTGTTAGAAGTATAGATAGTAGATTAATAGTAGATTTTTTGTGCAATTGCTTATATATATTCCAAAGTTTATTTGCTATTTCTAAGTTTATAAGAGATTTGAGTAAGTTTAGAGTTATAAGATCTTGCTTATTATACTGCTTATAGTTAGGAGGTGAAGTGAGAGGTAGGGTAGTAGAAGTTGTCTCAGGTATCATATGTGTTTGTAAGTAAAGGATAATATTATTGATATCAGAATAGAGTTTTTTTTAAGAGCTAACTTATCTTTTTATTACTTTGTGAATACTAGTTAAAAATTTACAATATGTAGTAAATAGACTATTATTAGAGAATGAACAACTATTACAATGAGTAATATTGTTATTAGAAGGAGAGTAGATCCAGTGAACTATATATACACTATTATGTTTTAGTATATTAGTAATATAGTCTATGATAGGATTGTTGTTTATAAGTTTTAGAATCTAGATAGATTTGTTTGCTATAGAAAAGGTGAGTAAGAAGGGGTATATATTTTATTTAATATTAATTTCTTAATAAACTTATTAGCTAAAAATATATTTAAGTTAAACTATTAGATCTAGCTTGATAAGACCTTTTTAATAAGCTATAAAACATATAGTATAGACAGTATTATATATTTTAGCTTATTCAAAGCTTTTTTTAAATATATTTAAGGATATTTCTAACTATAACCTATGGTGATAATCACTATAGTCACATGATCAAATATATTAATATAATTTTCATATAACACATATTCATGTAGCACTATTCAAGAAGAATTAGTAGGGTAACCCCAAAAGTGCAGGTCACATGATCTAAACTATCACTATAGCTATTTTTTAATAATCAATAGTATATTGCTTTGTTATATAATTTGATTTAAAAAAAATTTCATTGCATGTAGAAGCTAAACAATCTAACAATTTTCAAAGAAGTCTGTAGCACATATCATGTGACCTGCACTTTTGAAGGTCACTCTGAATAATTCTGATCCTGAGAAAGATTAAAGCAAAAGCAAATTCACATGATTATTGCTAAACAAATTATAGAATTTTGATAATTGCTAGTGAAGTAAAACAAGAAAAAAGAGTGAAAAATCTGAAAAATACAAAAAATAGCAGTCTAAACCTACCTTGAGTAGGTTAATTAAAAATGTCAGAAAGGCAAGTTTGCATATATATAACCATCTAAAACCTAACTCTAAGCCTAGAGGTTTGATTAGTAGTGATCACTAAATTTGCTCCTATTTTAGATGTCCCTATTCATGCATATTCATGTAATATCTATGCATATTATTAATACTATGATTAAAGCTTACTATAAACCTTTCCATAAACCCAAAACTATTCTAACCCTAACCTTAGCACAAAAAATACTATGTCAGTATTCACTCAATATTAAAAGAAAATACAATAAAAGCATTATATTTTATTACTCACACTATTTTTGCAGTGATTTTTTTATTAAAAATTTCAATTATTATTGTTATGCATAGGCTTGTTAATCTTCAGTTTTAATCGATAGTATTATAATAAAACATTATATGGGTGCTGTAAAGAAAAAACATATCAATTCCAAATTCTATAAGATTTGCAGACTTTCTCCTTGTGACATTCATTAAATAAAATTCGAGTCAATCCTTTTTTGTAGTTATGATTATTACTTCTTTGCATTATTGGATTCAAATATTCAATAAAAGTATTCGATTGAAATGAAGTTTATTAATTCTATAAAACTTTTAGTATACATATATATTAGCTTATAACACTCATCTAATATTATCATTAACATTCTAAATTACTATAACTACTATTAAAACAAAACTATAAATCTTGTAATATTATAAGAAAAAAAATTATTACTAGTTACTCCCATTGTAGTGAACTCTTAATAAAAGTATAGTAAAAAATATCCATATAAAAACCCTCCTGATACATATAGTAAATTTACTTAAATTTTACTAAAACTCGATATAGTAAAGAAAATTTTGCAATCTAATCACTTCACTATAATAAGAATGATTTTTAATACTTATCTGATAATGATAACAACCTTATTGCTATATTTTTGTACTATTTCATATAATACTCTATTATCTAAAAAATAAACTTGTTATGTACTAAAATTTACTACATGATAAGCAATCAAAATCATGAATGGCATTCATAATTTTAATAGTTTTTCACTAATTTTCGAAGTTTTTTAGTATGTAATTTAAATCAATATTATAATTAGAAATACACTATAAATTATATCCACTCATTTTTCCTACTACTTACATGTACATATATTACATACATATTTTTGTTTACTTTCTTCTGCAATATAGCTACTATTATTTGAACTAGCATTTGATAAAGGTATCCTCAAATTAGGATCTAGTGAATTAATTGCATGATTATTATGAGCTAGTTCTTTACGACCTTGACTTTCAGAAGAACCTTTTAACCTTCTTATTGGTAACTGTTCATGATATTTTGTAACAAAAGGATCCATAACAGTTATTTGTTCAGATTGATCAAGATGAACATTTTCAGCACTAGTACTTTCAAGCATAGATTTCTTTTGGTCAACGAAATGAGTAATTATGTCAATCAATTCTTCTTTATACCCAAGATTCAAGACAATATTAAGTGCCTTTTTCATTTTGCCAAATCCATTAGCATATCTGACCTTTTTGTTAACCAATTACTTATTTTCTATATTGTATATAGTACCTCAAATTTGTTTAATAATATGAAAATCCAGAATGATCATATCTATAGCAGTTTGCTGAAATATTGTAAAAATATTAATATTTTGCTGTAAACCCTCCAAATCTTTACCTTGGTTATTATCTCGATACTACTGTCTTGCTATCAGCCTAATATAGAATACTGCTATTTTGGTATTCATTATTACTTGAAAAAAATGAGAACAAATAATATCATAGTTAATAATGGCTATACAAGTACACAAATATCCACTATTACTTAATAATACTATATAGTGTTTGTAGACTACCATTAAATCCATAACCTCCCAAATTTTAACAACTTCACTTGGTTCAATATCTCTTAATAAAGCTATAATAAAAATTTATGGCTTATCGAACTCATCTTCTAAAAAGCCGATATCATAATCCAATTGAATATTTTCCTAAACAAAAAATTACTTTGAAGTTTAAAATTTGAATTGATCAATAGAGTTAGAATATAGAGACATAATACCAAAGTATTAAATAAAAAACTACAAATAAATATGCTATAAGTATATGTTATAGTGTGTAATTATCTCTATACTCTAATTCTAATCAAAAAAAAAGATGAATATAAACAAAAAAACGACTATATTAAATCTGTAATCCTAAGATATCATCCTTTTGTCATAGCTGTGCTCTATATAAAAAAAATTCAGTAATTTGCTGTTGTTGTACAGCTAAAATATGAGGTGTTAAATACAACTTCAATATTTCTAAAACTTTTAAAAATATTGATTCAATGATTGATAGTACTTGATTAGTAGGAAGTGAATTCAAATAACTATTATGTCTTGCTTACTTAGCTTCATTATCCAAGAGATTTTGAATATACTCATGAAGGTTATGCAATGAGGAAGTACTTTTTACACCTTCTTTAATTAGTTGATTAATTATTTCAATGCGTTAAGTACTTTGAACTTTTGCTGTAAAACATTTTAATTGATAGCACTGAGCCTATGATTTAATAAATCCCTGCAATATCCTATTAAAGTAATCTTGGGTTTGAGGATATTTATTTAATAAACATGATCATCGTCTATAAAAGTCTTCTTCAAATAAGCTATTTTGCGTGTATAAAAACTCTTTATAGAACTCTTTGAATTGTTTGCTGAGTTTACTTCGTAAATTTTTGCGAATATTTTCCTATATATGAAAAATGTATAGAAAATGGTATGTGGTAGGTAATTTTAGAGTAATAGTATTGCTTAATGCAGGTTCAGAATCAGAAAATAAAGATACTGGTGGTATATCATGTGTTGCCTTCATAAAGTATTCAAAAAACTATTTATATGATTTGGTGGTTTCATCTTCAGATAACACTTGAGCTACTAGCCTGATTTTTGTATTATTATCAATGACTACTACTAGTATAAGGTACATATAAAACCAATTTATTTGATATATATTGTCAGTTTGGACAACGTCAATATAACTGATAAGATATTGTTGTTGAATTGACAATATCCAAAATAAACCTGTTAACCAATTATTATATGGATCTACTCGAATATTAACAATTCAACCTGAATCTTTGTTTTTTAAATACAACAAATATTCAATAAAATGTTGTGCTTCTTTATAATGTTGAGTAGATATTGTTCAAAACTTTTGAACAGCATTATAAAGATCACGTTTGTGAATAATATAATCTAGAAATTTTGCAGTCAAAAGTAGTAAAATTTGTTTAGAACTCATTTTCCCCTTTGTAACATAAAATTCTACTACTTCCAAGATTTCCGAGAATAGTTTTCTATACTTTGAAGCAAATAATGTAACATCTGGTTGTATTTGATGATTATGTTTCCCACTATACTAGTTACAATTATAACTAGAGACAACTTTGATTTTGACAAATTTCCATGCCATGGGTATGAAGTTTTCCTTAAAATATGATCATGTTGCTAAAAAAGATCAATAACTTTGTTACTAACAGTTTCTCCAGAATGTGAACACTCAAAAGTACATCATCTAACTTCACTCTCATCAGTAGTTATTATTCTTTTTTGACATAAGGAGAAACCTATAGCTTTAGTGTAACTATTGAGACATACTTCAGCTAGATCCCATGACATGTAAGAAGTGCTTGCTAAAAGTTGGAGGCTTGACTCATCATTTGGTTCTATTTCTATGGATAATTCTGCCTCTTCATTGATTTCAGAAATTACTAATTCTGTATTATTTGTAATTCTGTAATTGGCTAAGATACTAGTAGATCCTAAAAAGTTTTCATCTAAAAACTCTAAATAAAAAGTGTTTAGAAAGCTAAACTAATGGTTAAAACTCTATAAAATAATAAATAAATTTGCTACTGATTTATCTTCTATAAGCTATTCTGCAAATATATCATTAAGATCACTAAAAAAATACAGTAACTAAAGAAACACAATAGTGAAAACAGTATAACAGTAAAAAAGAAGCATACTACAAGTGCAAAAAAAAAGAACGGAAAGAAAAAAAAATACTGTGAAGTAGAATGCAAGTTAGTATCGCATTACTAAGAATTCACTAGGAAAATGCTACAGTAAAGAAAAAATACGATAGTAAAGAAAAACGTGACAATAAAAAAAATATAATGATAAATAAATACGATAAAAGAAATATGACAGTAGAAAAAAGAAGAAATATGATAGTAGAAGAAGAAAGAAATACGACAATGATTATACAGTAGTGAACAAGATATGTAAAAATTAGTAATATAGTATAAAACATAAAATGATATAATGACATAACAGGTACTTAGGTATATTAATCTGTGTAATTATGGTGATCATCATCATGAGTTATTTTAATTATATTTCTATATTTAATATCTAAATATTCAAGTATTCAAAGTATTCAAGCTGTTTATAGCCTTAAATATTTTAGTAATTAAAATAAAAATTATATGATTATATTTTTTTTTAATTCTAACTATTTTTGCTTAAGAAGTTTAAATAGGTTATCTTAATTTTTTTTTATTTTAAAAAGAAAGATCCATATTCTGATACTTTTTATTATATTTAAAATTTACTAACTTATATTATATAGAGAGGTATTATATTTTATATTTGAGTGAAGTTACAAATAGCTATATATATAATTTTAGTTATTGTTTATTTAAAGGTTCTGTCTGTAAGTTATCTACTAATTGCTATACTTAAGATCTACTTGTAAATTCTTTATTTAAGTTCTCTAACTTCCAAATATTTTTTATTTACTATTAAGTAGCAGAGACTAAGAGCTACTTTACTCTTGACCTAACCTCTATCTTCAAGAGTAGCTATACTTATTTTATAGACTACTTAGAGGTTTTAATCCTTGTTAATATTTATACAAACTTAGTTTTTACTATATTTCTTCACTAGTAGTTCTTCAAATATTTCATGAGAAAATTTTTTCAAATCTAGTTAACTGATAAGCCAAGTTGATATTGTTATTTCTCTTTGTGAAATAAACTTACTTATACCTAATTTGATCTATATTTTTATATTACTGGATCAAGTATTAACTAGTATAACTATTGAAATTATACTATTTTATCTAACTCAGAATTTCTACTATGCAGTGTTAACCTTAGGGATCCACCTCTTCAAGAATTCCTAGTGACTGCTGATTATAGTATAAAAACTATAATATTTTACAGCTTTAAATAGTTACAGGTGTCCAAGAAGGACTTAACAAAGAGAATTTAGATGGTAAAGCAATTGAAAGAGGCAACATGCTTAAATATATATGAAGACATAAATAAACATTCACACACTAAACATTAACTATCAACATAGTTAACAGAATTCAACTAACATAATAGTTGAAAGATAATTATAATAGCGTTATAAGTGAGTTTATTCAGTAAGTAACTCCTAAGAGAATACATATTTAAACCAAATCAAACTGAAGAGCTTTAGAAAGGTCAAAAGCCAGCTCTTTTATAGATATTTTACATGTATAAATAATTATAATACTCTATTTTAAAGACTATAGTTAATAAAATATATAATATATAAATAATATAAATAAATAAAATGAGTTTATCTACCTATTGTGTAATATCTGCAGCCAATCATATGATCTACATATGATTTACTAAGAGAAATTATATTATTTGAGTTATCTTGGTATACAGTAATCTAATCTTAATAATTTTAGATTCGTTGGAATCATCTCAATGAGCTAAATCTAATAGTATTTGTTTCATTTAATTTAGATTAATAGAACAGAAGTTATTAAGAATTTTATGTTTTTCTTTAATATTCTATATGTCAACATTTTCCTCGGCTTATTTTTGAGTTTCACAAAAATAATAGTTGATATTATAATAAGATATAAAATATTGTTCATTATATCAAATTCTTTGAGTTTTATATTCAAAATAGTTTAAGCAACTAAGTAAAAAGAAATCCTACTTAGTGCTAGTCCGCTACTATAACTCGTCAGTAGATTAACTGTCAACTAGCAGGTATTGAACCTACGACCACTAGCCTCATAGTCACAAATCCAAACCACTTTACTAAAGCAGGCAGTTATTAAAATTTTTTCATGCACTCCTTAAGAATGTTCGAATTTAGTAATAATTAACCAATTGGAATAAAGATTCACACATGTTTGAAATTAAGGTTTAAAATAGGATAAAAATTTAAAGTTCGAAAAAAAAAAAAATAATTTTAAAAGAAAAAGAAAAAGAAAAAATGCGAAAAAGAAAGTATAGTAATCAACATCAAAGAGAAAGATCACCATACATGAATGTAAAAAGGTAATATAATATAATAAAGATAAAAAAAAAATAAAAATATACTAAATAAATAAAAATATATATAGGGTTGAGAAAGAAAGAAAGGAGAAGAAAGAAAGTATGTTGATAGAGGGAAAGTTTAGAGAGAGAGAGAAAAAATTTTCTATTTTGTTGTAAATAGTGTCAAGAATTGGTTTTGTAGAGCCATTTCCATCATAGAAAATACCAAGATATCGTATAGTTTCTTCAGATTTCCTAGGAGTAATAGTTTGATTATTGTAATAAAGTGTTTTAGTTATTTGTGTTTGAGAAGATTTAGATTTAGATTGGATATGTAAAAGGTCAGATTTAGAAGAATTAATTGTTATGTTATTAAGATCATATAATTGTGAAGTGTCATTTAGAATATTTTGTATCGTTTCTAAATTTTCACAATGCCATACAGTATTATCCATGTATGCTAGTGGTGGAATTATTATGGGGGGAGTAATAGAGTTTGAAATAGTATCAAGAGGTTATTGTATTAAAATTTTTAGAAGTTGATTTTGGTATTTTTGTGAAATGAAAGTAAGAATAGAGTCATAATAAATTTTCCATAGAAGTGGAGAATATGTTTCACCCTATTCAATACCAGAATTGATATGAACAGGAGCAGTAAGACTATGTAATATTATAATTTTTGCAAGATGCGAAGTATGTAGTTCTGTAATAAAATTGATTCCTTTTTCAGGAATACCAATTCTTTTATATGTATTCTGAAGTCGAGAGATATTTATTTTATCGAAAGCTTTAGACATATCCTGAAAGAGAATTCAAACTTCTTTGTTTTGTAAGGTATAGTATTCGATGGTATTGTGAAGAATTTGAATCGCTGTATATGTGGAAGAGTTTTTTGAAGCAGCAAAATTTAGATTAGAGAGGAGATTATTAGATGAAATAATTTTGTCAAGTCATTTTGTGAATATTTTAGTGAGAGTTTTTTTGAATAGTTCAATAATTGAGATGGGCTTCACTTGATCAAGAGTGAGATCCCAGTTTGATTTTTTTAGGATTAAAAAAATATTAGAGGATTTCCATTCGGTTAGAACTTTTTGAAGTTGAAGACATTTGTTGATGAAGAGTTTAAGAGCTTTTTGTGCTTTGTTACTTGCATATTTAATA